TGAGAATACCGTACCTAGTCAGATTAGTGAATAAATACATAGCATCAGCTGGATATAGAAAAAAATCATGAAAACATAACTTTCTGTCGAAAAGAAGCAGCTGAGAGTTTCAAAAAACAAGCAAAGGAAATGAAAGTAAGTCCTAACAATATACATGCCCTAGCAAACTGAAGTGATAATACATGAATACCAATTCCTGATGTGAAAAAGGTAAAAAGTGATTTAAGAAAAATTGCTGGCAAAATTTTTTAGTTATTTGCTGGTAAGAATATTATTAAATCATTTTATTATATCTGTATTATTTTCTCATAAGATTATAATAAATGTTACGCATGATTTTAGATTCGAGTAAGACGTTTGCGAGCAAAGACTTTTACATGAAACTAGCATTCTGCTAGACGTACAGTTATTTTTTCGAACAGCAGCATCAAAAAATTCAAATACTACCATTCAACGATATTTTTGTTGGAACTAAAGGTAAACGTATTCCACAATAAGATGCTTGTGTAAAAAAAAAAAAAAATATGTCGTGTAATTTCAGGTGCCACTCTTACATGTCAAACAGTAACAAAGAAGAGATGTATACTTTTAACTAAAGCAATTTTTCTTTCAAGAAATGAATATACAAATATACTACAATTACTATTACGAAATGAACTTTGCAGATTTGTTAACAAAATAAACATTTTTGACTTTTTTCTTTTTTGCCTGAAAGTAACCGGGTGAAGCTATTCGTAGGCATTTCTCGTTTTGCCTATAATTTTAGGCGATTTGGGTTGTTCTTGGGTTTCATGTTTTTCCGGTAACATATAAAAACAAAAATACGTACATCTATACCGACTAGATTTATTGACGTTCAAGTGCATAAGCCCCCTAGATTTTGAAACATTATGGCTCTTCCCCCACACTACCCTTCATATACCATCGTTCAAAAGCACATGCTGCCGTAATATGACACTTTCCTTACCACTATCTTGGGTTTTAATCTAGGGGGGGGGGGCGTAGAACTGCTGTAGCCTATTAACTTGACGTATAATGTAATAATACGAGTAGTATTAAGAAATAATATTTTATACTTTTGTTCTTATTTATAAATAGTTCTTTTTGTGACAAATAATTTTTGGAATGCTAAATCACTAAAAAGATTTTTTTTTTTTTAGTGCTTTAGTAGCATAAAATTAAGTCTACAAAAACTAATTCAATTTCATCATTATTATTTTGTGATAAACAACAGCGTTTTTTCCTTTGTCAGCACTTCTCTCTTCTTTTGCCAAAATAATTTGTAAATAGGAATATCACTGCTTGAGGGATAGTTTCCTAAAAAAGTAAAAATAACCAACTTTTGCTACAGTTTACCATCGCCAAAATTTGACTAACTAAAACATTATTAACAGTCAGTATAATCCTGCCCTGCCGTTTTATTAGAGTAGTCTTAGTGAACGTTAAAGCATCTGCTCTCGAACATACGGGAGTCACTTCTCATATAACGTAAAAAGCATAACTGTATTACTGATTCAGTAGCCTTGGTTACAAAGCTTTCTACATCCATCCTTAAGTTTTCTTTGCTTGCTGCGTTTTTTAATTACCTCGTAAAGCATAATTTTTTGTACTTCATACTTTTGTCCTTACTTTGGAACGTTTACTGCGTTCTCACTTCAAAAATAGTACTCGCAGCTGGTGCGCATCCATATAGAGAAAGTAAAAATGATTTCTCGGACTTTTTTAAACTTTAAAAAGAGAGAGAGAAAAAAAAGCAAATGCGTGCGTCTTTATCGAAATAGGTACATAGAAACAAATTTATGCAGTAGAAAGCTGCAGCAGGTGTGTGTTTGCGCATGAGCGTATGAACTCTCTCCATAGGTTGGTTGGTTGTATTTAACGGCAGGGGATACGAGTGGACTCTACTACGCTATAGCCTCTGTCCGTAGTAAGAGCACATAAAATGCGTGTCTACGTTGCTAGTAACTTCTAAAATTAAAAAAAACTAAGCGATGTATTTACGTTTTTTCTTTTTTATTCGCTTAGAAGGCAGTGGCTTTACAAGAAGGGCATTTGCAAGATGTTTTTTAATTAAATTTTTAGGAATGAAAGTACGAACCTAAAAATACTTGAGTTTGAAAATACCTGGTAAAAGCACATCTCTTGTCATTAAAAATTTATTTGTATGTAATAAATATAAAAAGTATAAATAAAATACAAAGTTACGATGAAAAATGAAACTAAAAATATTATCGTTTAAAAAATACGTTAAGTATATTTCATACAAGTTTTAACTCGAATTCATCATAAATTCTCATTGGTAGTGAGTCGGGCAGTGGCACAATGACTCATTGAAAAGTTTTTTTTTTCTTATTATGGAAATTGATACTGAAAGGATAGTAAGGTACGCACACCTTGGCTTTATTTGTGAACCGTAAAGTTTGAATCAATATTATTTTAAAATATTAAAACATAGGTAGAAATAATCAAATCAGACGTCGAACGTCAGTTGGTAAGTAAAAATAATATTATGAGTGTAATATTATTAACTATATCAGAAATCACACGAACTGATAGACTACAGCATGTTTACATTTTGAATTTCACGCCATCAGCGCCTGTTGGTAAATATATATAATGACTACCGATAAGCCCATATGACTGCGGGTGAGAGAATGTACATTCTTGATTCTGTTTTCGTTTGTTACCGACAGAAGTTGATGACTCGAAATTCGAATTCGAAATCGATTGTGCTGTTATATCCCTTAATATCTATGAACTATTCCTACACACTTGTGGTAAAATATTTTATAATAGATTCAATCGATAGTTTTTCAATTAGTATTTGTTTTTGAATAAATTTTTACTTATTTATTAATTTCAGATTAAAATGTTTGTAGAAAAATTTATGCATTTAGATACTTTATGTTTAATACTTTGTTTCGACTTATTTACCTGAGTTTTAAAGTCGTAATAAGAAATAGTATTCTGTTTTCAAAAAAAAAAAAAAAATGAACTCAGAAAAATTAAAAAATTTTCCAGACTTATTTAAATTAGAAATCAACATTTTTAATTGTAAATCACAATCATTAAAGCTCACGGGAATGATGAAAGAAGAAAAGCATATCGAAAAAATAAAGACATTGGATTAAAATCATGGATGTCAAAAGAACAGTTAAAAAAATGAAACAAGAAGAATCTACAAATAGAAGTGCAGTTTTTTGATCGATCTTTAGACTCTTTACAGATAGAAAAACAGCTGAAAGACAAGAAAGCATAGATGCTTATCGTCCCCTACTTGCTTGTTTATCGAACGATTCTTTACGTTCACATATATCTGTAGAACAATTTTTGTATTAATATACGTAAAAATATTGTATAATTTCAACATTTGTAATGTATTCCTACTTCTACATGATCAAATAAAATAATCAATACAAAGCCAGAAAGTGCCACTTTACAATTAAAAATTTTTTTCCTAACAGCTGTAATTATGGCAGCATGACTACATATAAAATAAATTTAATAAATGAAAGTGATCTACTTACTAGAATTTTTTTAAATACTTACTATTTAGAACATAAATTTATAAAAAGTGTACCTAACATTCAAATTTCCATTACACCGAGTTTAGCAACTTACAAATGGTGCGTGAATTACGATACAGATCCAAGTGGCTGTCCTATTTTTGCAAGATCTGTTCTTCTAAAACATAAGAGCATATTTTTTGCTATTTTAAACGGTAAATGTTGCACGTATGATAGCAGTTTCTCTAAATTTCTTTCAATGTAGGAGTCAATATTCCAAAGAAATAACTAGCATGTACTAATAAACAGTTTCATTCAATGGACCTTGACCTTTACTTTGCGTTTATGCATGTACGTTGCAACTCCGCAACCTCCAAAAGTGGTATCTCAGAAGAAATAAGCTTCTAATTATGTATCTTGTGTAGTACAGCATCATTAAATAAAAATAGCTGCTATTGCATTGCTATACATACTTGTTTTATCTATTTCTGTGATCCCAATAAAATTTACCTTGCTGATCACTCTTAGCCAGGACTGCAATTGACATTATTGCTCAGGCATTACAGTGTATCCTACAAATTTTTCTAATGCCACAAGGGATAATTAATGGTCTCGACCAGAAATGAGTTAATTAAATCCATATTTTTCTATTACGTTTACTCTGTAAGAAATCAAATGGTTACTGTAATACTTTTAGAATTAATTATAACCTTTTACTTTTGCTATTACTAATCTGCTTCATATCTCAATTAAACTGGAAGGTGACAATACAACCTTGTAGGTAATCTGCATTGATCATAAATAAATGAAATAAAATTTATACTGCTTGATTAAAACATTTCATACTTGGTTGATACTCGTTTAGAACGAACCATTATATGTTTTTTTAATTATCATTTTTCTGATACCTAAGACACAATGTTTATAATTGTTAAGATGCAGGAATACGGTCATAACTTAACCATGTGAAATTCAAATAAGAATAAATTTTCTCTCATTACCTTAAGTCCATTCTTAACAAAAATATAAACGCATCCGTTTTATTAGGTCTACAAATCTTGTGAATTAAATACAGTAGTGTAACGCAGAAAAGATACATGTAGCAGGATGAAATTAAAAATTATATTGAAGGATACCGCTTGTTAATGCAATAAAGACTATTTAATACAAAAATAAGTGATAGATGTAAGCCATAGATAAGAATTTTTCGCTTAACAATGTATATTTTGCCCTTAGTTGTTCAGTGATTTCGGAGTCTTGAAGTTGTATAGCCATCCAAACTTCAGCTATCAATATTTTAACTTGCGGAAATAGTAAAACGTTGATTTATTCTTGCTGTTATTTAACAAAATACTTTTTTCTTAGAGTCTTACAGTATTGCTTTCATTAAAAACATTGTTATCGTAAACAAACACATAATTTATATTGCCTTGGAAATTTATAATACTGTAGTTCCCGTTAAACTTAATCATAATAATTTAAATATTTTTGCAGGCCTACGAGTTGTCAACTCTAACGGGTACACAAGTCATGCTCCTCGTCGCGAGTGAAACTGGTCATGTGTATACGTTTGCGACTCGAAAATTACAGCCTATGATCACAAGTGAAGCTGGAAAAGCACTTATTCAAACATGTTTAAATAGCCCTGATCCACCTTTATCTGGATCTTCTGGAGATCAACGGATGTCTGCAACTGGTTTTGAAGAAACTGAGCTCACTTATAACATAGCAGATGATGAACAAAAAGTTAGACAACTAGTGTATTCGTCTCATGGAAACAGTTTACACAGTGGATTCTCACCAAGTGGTGCACAAACTAATCAACACATTACTTCACCGCACTCTCAACATTCACATCTTATAGCACACGCAGCTACGACATCACAAAATTCGCATTTAGCCCCGTGCTCAAGCCCAAGTCCTATGCTTACTGGAAACCACTATGTTCAATCTTGTACTTCTCCACTTCCTCCTCATTTGCCTTATCATTCTCATATTTCACATTCACACAATCAACGGTAGACACATTTTTTGTAAAATTTTAATTTATAATATCAATTATATAGGATGTAAGAGTACTTATGAGTTTTTCTACTACCATTGTGCAATATTTTGATATTTGTTTCTATTATAAATGTTATATTCTTCTAAAGGTTTATACGTTTAATGTTTTATAAAAATAGTGATATAATAAAATTAATATCTAACTCAACATTGTACTAACAACACTTATTTAAATAGTTTTTAATCTATAGTATTTACGTACACACAAATATATGTTTTTATATTATACAGTATTTTGTGTGAGACATTCCACACGAATGCTATAATGCACCGCAACCACCCCCACAAAGCCCCATTCAGCTCTCACCACCCCCCAAATGTCTTTTCATGAAATAAGGAAAAATTCAGGCTTTTTTCAGTTATTTTGACTCACAACATTTCTTGTTTAGAACCCCACTGCTCCCTCACCGCCCGCACGAGCCTGATTATAAGATTTCAGTTGAAGAACATATATGAACTTTATACATACGAAAATGTAAATTACATGTAATACTCTATTGTATAAATATAAATAGGTTTGTTATTATTTTATTTTAATATTTTCGTTAGTACACAGTTTTTGGTAAGATAAAGTTTAGATAAAAGAATTATGATTAAACTATGAATAAAACTTTAGTGATTATATTTTTACTTATGAGATGATAAAAATATATACATGATCATAATTTCTTATTACTTTTTTTTTGTTGCCGGGTTACCACGACGCGACAGCCTATTGGCCTAGTAACTGGAGCTACCCACTTACCACCTATCTATGAGGGTGTATTCCTGCACCCATTTACCATACATTTGAACTGACATCATACCTTATCAAACCACGAGCACAGTGGGAGTATCTCTGGTGAAACATCTTGCCAGTGAAGTTGATACTCTCTGCACCAATGGTGCATTGGGTCGTCCACTCGCTACTGTGTAGCCTTCTCCCGAAGGAGACTCCGTATTTCAGGACGTCCACTCTTTGCCAGTAAAGCCAGCGCTCTCTGCCAAAGCATCGGATTAAGGCTAATTAGCATCCCCGAAAAAGCCCCATGCTTCAGGGACCACTCCTTGCCAGTAAGGCATCGGATCTGCTAATTCCTACCTGTAGTCCTAACACTGTTTCACATTCACCCAGGCCCAACGATCTGGGGTAAGGAAAAGACCTTAGAATTACTCTGCAGGAGAATTCCATGGAAAAACCTGCCCCAAAACAGCCGGGGTTACATAGGAACTTTTTTGAGTAAAAATAGTTTCGAAAAAATCTGCACTCACCGGGAATCAAACCTACAACCCTTAGAAAGAGATTGTATCAGTAACAATTGTGCTTACCACTAAGCCAACGCTACTTACAATTTATTATTACTTACATAGTTATATAAATCGTGCAAGTGTCTTTTCCTTGAAGCGTTTTATTTTTATGAGTAACCTTACACCTTATCAAACTATAAAAAAATAAAGCTTCCCTGTTCCTTTCTTCAATAAGATTAGTAATATTATGTTTTTGTACTAATTTTAGCAATGAAATAAAACATACATTTTTCTTATGTATATCTCATTAAAGCCAGCCTATGACTATTGTTCCACCCTTTGGCTTATATGTGTTAAAAAAAACTCTTTAAATATTTTTTGTACAGCAAGTAAGTTCTTCTGTAACTTTGATTTTTATACCAGATATATATTTTACATGTGTGAATCATTTCAAAAATATATTTAAATTGTATACATGCATTTATCAACATTTTATCTCAACATATAAAAACCAATCGCATAGTTTTGACCAAAGGTTTATTTATTTTTAAAAAACTGTCGATGTCCAAGATTTTTTTAGGAAGTGGATTTTTTTAACGATATATTTTAAGGTTTTGTCACATGTAGCTTGAAATTAGCTAAAATAAGTCACAGCTCACAGTACAGACTTCAAAATGTCCTATAAGACCTATTTCAAAATTTTTATTCTTAACGAATTTTTATTTATTTTGGTAAGCAACATTCGTTAAGTCTTATATTACCGCGGACTTCAACCTGCATGCAATGATCCAGCTTTCTAAATAGTCGTAGAACTCTTTAACAGACGAGATTATAAAGAATTACAACATTCAAAAAATTAGAATTTGTGTGTCTTAATGGTTGTTTTGTAATATTACTGCATTTGTTTTCTAAACTACATCAATTTTATATAATCTGACCAAGATCATCACTCTGGAAACGTAGTATAACATAGAAAAAATACGAACACTTACTCTCAATAAAGCTATGAGATAATAATTTTCTTTTATCAGTGAATGCAGGATATTGTCTTTCCTTATTTATCCTTTCTTAGAAGCAGTTCATTTCTAAATTTTTGGGTATTATTTTCGGTATTACTGTTTGTACATAGTTATTTATGTATTCATACTAATAAGTTATAAAATTACTAATCATAATGCATTATCATTTATTTTATGTAATATTTCTCAAGTACAATGTGTTTTTTTTTTTTAAGTATACAGTTTCAATAGCTATTCTGACAAACGGTGTGTATAACAGCTTTTCATTGCTGTGTTACTGTGCATATATATATATATAATACTGTAATCTGAATCAATTATTTTTGCACAGAAACTCATATTAATAGATTCCGATAATCACCTGAGAGTTGGTGTGCGAAGCGCGCACGAGGACGAGGCCTTACTAGTATGCATATACATACTTAAAAACTGACTTATGCTGACTCTACATGCTTTATAAACATATAGTTCCAATGTTGAAAACTTATGCCAACAGTTAGCATAAGTCAGTAAAAGTCTGCATAAATAAGCTTCTTATTAGTATAGTATCAGCATAGCTTAGAATACTTATATGTATATACATACTAGTAGGGCTTTGCCTCCTGCGGTCTCCACAAACCAACCCCCCAGTAACTGATTGTGCTATAACTATTATCTTTTCAATATAAAGTATGCATTTTTTTTGTAAGCCATAAAAGTTATTTAATTTATTGTTAAGTATGCAAAAGAAAACTATGATATACAAGATTTTACAAGATTTGAAAGACTACTACATTTTTGAGACGTATAAAAATCAGCTACATATTTTGAATAAAGGCAGTAAAGCTCATGTAGAAAAGGAGATCTCTCTTAATCACTCTTCTTTTTTTCAAGGTAAGCTTCAGTCCCTTTACTGACCTTACTTTGAATTAGCAGTCTATGTTTTATATACATAGATAGTCCATAGGGACATTTCTGAAATTTACTTGCTGTCTGCGGATCTAATTATGTTACAATATATTGACTTGAATGCTACCTTCTTGTACGTAGTATATAGGAATACAATTTTGTTAAGTGATATTTTTATGTACTACCACCTACTTTTACTTTATGTTAAATATCTGTAATGTATCAGTCTATGAATATGTTTACAAAGTCTCTGTTGCACTATATTTCATTTTTTTCAAGTCTTACTTGTAGTATGAGTTTAATTTTTGTTTTTTTGCATAATTTTTATTTTTTGTATTGTCAACTTGAAAACAGATAATCAAACAAATACGAACACACCCAAGATATATTCAACATAACTCTATTGGTATACAAAGAACTGTTAGAATTATCTAGAAACATTATTCAGGTTCGTAATCTATACGTAAGGTTTCTGAAGTTGATGGAGAAGAAAAAAAAATCTTAATATGGTGAAGTTAACCAAGAATTCGTTACAATTATTTTAATCGATGTGTAATTAATGTGAAGTAATTTATAATATTATTATTACTACGCTTTTCATAAAATAATTGTAAATCTTTCATGAAAAAAAAAATATTTTAAAACTTTCAAGGCGTATTTAAGATGTGTTTTATCATAACTGTCTTATAATCTACTCTAATAATTTACACTAAAGCTAATGTCACATCTAGTTCCCGAACTAATGTACAGGAGAGCTGCAATTAACTTTCTAACCTTAAAATTATCACACACTGATTGCGCTAGTTCTAGTTTCGAATTGTATTTCATAGAAACCACATACAATTATAAATTTTTAATATCATACTTCCTTACCAATGTTTCAATATAGTTTTTTTTGTTCAAGTGTCATTTTTCCATTTTCATAGTCATAGTTGATGCTAATACTTAGATAAGTGCTTATTCTACTAAAATCTTTTATTGAAACTTTTTACACAATAATCTTTTGTGATAGTTCCACTTTTCTTTATTTTTACAGCTAAGTCATCCACAAAAAAAATTAAATACATGGTTTCATTTTTATTACATCATATATAAAATCAACAATCATTTTTACTCCTTACAAATCCTAATTCTTTTATGTATGTATCAAAACATTTATACCAATCCTTTGGGCTCTCTCTCAACTCAAACAACGCTTTATCTAATTTTAAAACCTTGTTGGAGCCATTCTCATAGCCTTGCGGCTATTTTACAAAAACTTTAGATTTGACTTCACCGTTAAAAAAGACTGTCTTAGCACTCATTTGTTCTATGATTGAATTATTTTGACAATAGAAGGAAAGTAAGGTTTTCAAAGTTAGAATTTTTAATACTGGTAAATAGATATCATCAATTGCATCATTTTGCTGGTAACGTCTTACAACTAATCTAGCTTCAAAAGCACTATTGGCTTTCTAGTACACATCCATTTTGAATTTGAAGCTTTTTTATTAGTTGGTTTATTTGCAGAAATCGAATTTCTGTTTTTATTTAAATAATCTATTTCTCTATCCATTGCCTTTTTCCAATTTTTAGAGTCATTACTATTCATCGCATCATTATAAGAATTATTTATCTCTGCATTTGTATAGTTTATATAAATAATATAACTGTGTACAAAATTGTTATCTCTGTATCCCTGAGGCTCTCGTTTTCTCCTTATTAATCGTCTTAAATTAAAATTTTTATTTTCATCATTGAAGTTAATATTAAAATTACCGTTTTTGTTTTCATTTAAACTAATTTTTATCATCTCGTTTTCTGATTTTAAACCAGTACAGTCTA